AATATTCAATATTGTAAAAAAGAACAATCCTACTCCTTTTACTACTACTACTACTACTACTGGGATTTTAGCTTTTTAACAGTGTTTTTTTGACAGAGAGTGGGAACTTCAAATTAATACACAAAACTTTGGATCTCCACAAGATTCGAATTACTGACCTTTAGACCGTTATACTATAAAACCATAGACTTTCTGTTTCTACGGTCTATAAATGTTTAACATAATTCAAAATTATAAATTCCATATTCACAATCTATTAATACAGTGAGTAGTATAGTGACGAACTATTGTAATTAACTTATAAAATGATTTCTATTTTCTGACATGTAAGGTTCTTTATGGATGTTTATGTAAACCTATAATGGAACTACAACTACAGGTTATATAGTGCCAATACCGTAGTATTCCGTGTCTGGGTGCTATAAAATCGAGCGGTATTGAATACAGAACCTTTTTCTATGCGGAACGTAATTATGAACTTTGAGTTTTTCAAATATGTATAATTATTGTGAAAAACTAACAATAACGTAATTCATGCAAATTACAATTTTATTTATATCTAATAATACAATCTATATTTTATTAAAACATTTCTTGAAACGAAATAAGTACCTTAAGCAAGAGCTTGTTAAAGAAATCAAAGTTGTCTCGCAATTAGTAAGAAATACAGACACGAGAACATGTTAGTTCTAGTAGATGTAGGTACTACTTAGATGTTATTGAGTCTTAAGATTTTACTATTTAATTGGCAAATATTTTTTACTTTCGTTTCTCATATATAAGTTTCTAATTATGAAAAAAAAAACATTTTACGGCTATAATGTAAAGATTATAAATTTAGGCACATTATTACGAGTATGGACATAATCTAGAGTTTGTTTGTTTACTTGATCGCTGGAACTACCGTTGCATTTGAAACATTATTTTTGGCGTTGATAGAATATTTCTTGAAGATGGTTATAGACTATTTAACATCACGATGCGACCACGTGCGGAGCCGAGAATAAAGCTAGTATAGTGTAACTGTTATTACTTCAATTTACTATTATAAAAGGTCCAACATATATTAAAAGATTATTGCATAATAAATTTAGGTAACCAAATTATAAACGATCTTTACCTCAGGTGTTGACGTCATAAATTTGTCCTTGTTATTTTTATCTTTATTATTTTTGTTAATCAGACTCTAAAATAGTGATGCGCGACTTTACTAATCTGACCACTAATTATTAGATTAATCAATCCATTCGGATTATTCGAATAATTTTCAATTTATTCGACTACTAATTTCATTACACTATTCATTTCATTCGTTTACTAACAACTAAAATTATTCATTGGTAGTTGTTCATGTACGAGTCGGTCCGAACATAACCGAGTCGAGCCGATCTCTGGAATGTTCTTACTTGTCAATGGTTAAGTGTGTTGCCAATTTATAATTAGTAAAAATTATCATTTTTGATACTCGATTTCGATTTGGTCGTTACTTGTTATCATTTATTGTTAGGGTTTAGTGGGATGATGGTAATGGATACAGGGAACGGACTTGGTAGTAGTAGTCACAGAAAAAGGTCTTTGTTTTTATTTTTCTACTTGGTTACTAATTAGTAAAACCATTTAAATACGAAAATTAGTATATTACTAATTTAGTAGTCAAATAATAAATTTAGTAATTACTAATTATTCTAATAACAAACTCATTCGGATTCGGATTTAATTATATTGCCATCGACTGCATACGTGCAGTGACAAACAGCGCGCTAGATACGCAGTGCTGCTCGCGACACATGTACCGTGCTCATGAATAAGGGATCCCATTGAGTTCGAAACTAGTTCGAGTATCCCCGAATATAAAACGTAACTCTAGCTGTTATAATAATTACAATACAGTATGACTCACGATAGTTACTATTTAATTTTTTTTTAATTAAAATATTTATCGTCTTTATAAACAGACTTATTTGTAAATAAATGGAACAATTGATGAAATTTTATATAAATTTATTGTATTGAATAAAGAAAATCTATCTGAATATTATTAATGTTTCTACTGCTAAACAGCTAAGGTTGTGTTTCGATTTGAAAGCTGCAATATTACAACGAAATTATAAGGTACAGAGGCATAACACCTGAGTCCTCAGAGAATACCAACGCATACGCATGTATATATATATATATATATATATATATATATATATATATATATATATATATATATATATATATATATATATATATATATATATATATATATATATATATATATATATATATATATATATAAGAGTAATACAGTATATTATGTGATATTCATTGTACGGTACATGTTTGTAGGTAATAGTTTCCATTTTCAATCAGGCTTCTTGTAAGCTTACTTGCCATTCTAAGTTGCATAAAAAAACTATTGTAGCAGACTTTGGCACTTAATGTTATTGTTATTATTTACATTTTATATTTGTGTCACTAAATATTAAAAATTCCGTATTTCGTTCACGGAAACTGCTCAATAGTTTTTAGTAAAATTTTGTACATATATATCCTTTTCTTAAATTTGAGAAATAAGAAGTTGTTACCCAATAAGAAAAAATGAGCCTGGTAAATGGCAATAGACAAAACAACGTTTGTCGAGCTCGGTTAGTTCATTCTGTAAAATTTAGTCATAAAGATATGTACAAATCGATAGTGACCTATTGTGGGGGAGATGCGGAATGTAAAAAGGCGACCAGAAGCCGAATGCAATGACTTCAAGCTTAGTCTCGGTCACGCGATACTTTCGCGTCACAAGCTTGCTGCCTACTTAATATTCACTTCATAATATTTAGACACGGCTCTGTTACAACAAAACGGTATTTATTTCAATTTATTTTCTAATTTACGCGAAATCCACTCTGAACTTGGTTGTATTACCACAATATTTAATTCCGGTAAATAGATCATTAATGACACCTAGTTTATATTCAGTAAATGTGGCTGCAGTTCGTAATTTAAATTTTCAAACAAATACATTTACAGAAAATAGGTACTTTAGTAGGGATAGGATACATTGATGAACGACGAGATACAACCACAATTTGTTTTTTTACAAACACTTTCTACTTTGTGTTTATAAATAATCTGTTTCATTTTTCATCTGACTTCAAAAATATGGTTCTCAATACGATCGTATTTTTATGCTCTTTACCTCATAATTCCGTCAGTTATAAACCAGTTTGGAAAATTCATTTATCAATATCGGTTTCAGTAATTTAGTTCTGTAAGTAAAAGTTTTGTCACAACGAAGTTTTTTCTTTTTGTAGAATACAATTTTATCTTTAAAAACAACGGTTTCAATCGCATTACCAATACAGAGATAAACCTTATTAATTACAAAAAAATAATCAAAATCCGTTCAGAATTTACTCGACATAATCGCGTAACATGCAGACAAATTGTAAACTTCCTCCTTTTGGAATTAATTGCAACATAGAAGACAGTGAGTGCTCGCATCTCATGATATGTCACTTCACATTAGACTATTTTTTTATACAACTTAGAATGGCAAACAAGCTGACGGCCCACCTGATGGAAAATGGTAACCGTCGCCTATAGACATGAGCAGTACCATGGACATAACAGAGTATACTGTTTCGCCCATGATACCCCCCATGCGTTGCCATTCCTGAGGACTTAGGTGTTATTCCTCCGTATCCAGTAAATTCACGCCATATCCCATCCTTCAAACCGAAACACAGCCATGCAAACACAACTGCTTCACGGTTGAAACACGAATGGGACAGAGGTACCCGACTTTTGTACAAAGTCTCCCTTTGGTACAAGTAAAATTATTGCGCAGGTTTTTTTTTAAACGGATGAAAATTAAATAATAAAATAAACTCGATTACTCTATTTATTCTGGCGGTGTATTAGTAAGAGATGACTGCTGAGGAATATACATACATTGGTTTTCAGTGAGGACCGTGTGGAGGTCGACTTGATATGATCATGACTACAGCAATAAAACTACAGCAATAATTGTAATTATTTATTTCAATTTTACTCATATTTTAAATTCGAGGATATCCGACTAGTTTCAAATTCAATAGGAGCCCTTATTCATGAGCGCGGTTCACGGTTGTGTCACAAGCAGCATTATGTAACCAGCAAGCTCTTTGTTGCTGTGTGCGGCCGGCCGTGACGATGGTAGTAACATGAATAAGGGTTCATATCTAGTTTGGAACTGGCCGGACATCCCCGAATTTAAAACGTGAGTAACATCGAAGTAAATAATTATAATACAGTATGACTCACAGTGCTAGTAATTATTATTCAACAAATCCTCTATATTTCGCCGGTAGCGCTCTATCTCTTTAGTTTCAATAATTATATGTAGGTTTATTGAAATATTTTATGTGGTCCCGGCATAGAATAGGTCACCCTCTATCTTTCTCGTGGGTGTCGTAATAGGTGACTAAAGGAAGACGAGGAATGGGCAACAGCGTACCTTTTAATACGTCTCTAAGGCCTGAATGCGGTTGCTAATCTGCCTGCCAAACATGGCAATTGCTGGCAAAACGCCTCTTCCTTCCTTCTTTTTTCCTTTCTTCCCCCACTTCCCACTTGGATGAAACTTATGTTCAGCAGTGGACAGTTAAACGCTGATATGATGATACTGAAATATAAAGGTAAAAAAAAACATTTAAAAATAAAGCTTGATTTTGTTTAACAAATTCGCAATGACGTAACCGATATATGCAATTTATTTGTAGGTTTACCATACATAAAATTGTTTATATACACTTAAATATCATTAAATTACCATAAGTTGCAGCAAGAGAAATAACTTTTCAAGAATATTGGAAATCCACAAAATGTTCTCACAATACAATCAAGTAGCCACTTCTAAATCACACTAACCCACAAAAGCAATTCCTTGGTCGCTATAACGACGGACAGCCCCACTGTTTACGAACCGAAGTCTGCACGAGAAACAGTAACGCACCACCTTCGAACCCGAACGAACACCACCCGCCCTGAACGGCACCACCTTAATAAAATAAATATCACACAAAAATAAACCAAATTTAAAATTAAAATGAACATTACATCGGAAATTGAATCGGATACAGCGACTGTTCTATTTTCAAATTAACAACGAACATAAAAGTTTTAAATTTCGAACTATCGTGTGATTCGCTGTTCAAAATGATTTGTGTTTTAGTGTTGGCATTGTTGACAACTCTCGCATTATCGGCACGGGAGCCGCGTCAAATTACTCTTGCGGATCAAGGAACAATATCTGGAATGTATATAACGAGATTCCGAACAAAGAGAATAGCTGCGTACGTGGGTATACCATACGCACAGCCCCCGCTTGACTTCAGAAGGTTTGCTCCGCCCGAGTTTACGGACCTTCCAAAATGGGAGGAAGTTAGAAATATGACAATATACGCACCTGATTGCATGCAAACCGACCCGAAGGGGGAAGATGTGCAGAATCCATTGCCGAAACACGACGAGTTGTTCAATAAATTGTTGGAATCTCAACTAGAGGAGCCGAGAAAGAAAGAGTTTTCTGAAGATTGCTTGTATTTAAATGTTTATGTGCCAGATGGTAAGAACTATTTTAATTTTATTATAATCGTTGGGCCATTTTTAACACAGATTAAAAAAATCAATGGTTCTATCGAATATAACATTTACGTCTGTGACGTCAGAGCTATTAAATGCATATTTCATTCAACCAATCCTACATCCAACTATTGGACATTGGTCTTTTCTAACATGAGAACATGTTATTTGACATTGTTTTGGTTTTATCTCTTTTGCACTAGTATACGTAGTTATTGTTAGTATACGTGTATTATTATATTATTACTTACCTTTTAAGACATTTTGGGAAAATTATATTTATGAAAATTTGTAAAGCACGAACCGTTGTTAATTACGCTCAAACTAATGAATAGGTAAAAATAAAACTAAGTACACAGATAAATCATAATCCCAAATTACTGGATACTTTTTATCTTATAGGCTTAGATTATACCTACAGACTAGTTTTGTCTATACATATAATAAAATTGTAGAGGGCGAATGTCTGTACATAGAAAAAAAACGCTAAAAACTGTATCAGGGGGATATTAGAAGTGAAATAGAATACATCTATATATTTTTAATTTTTTTTTATATTATATATTTTTTAAATTTTTGTTTATCTGTCTGTTTGTCTACTTGTCTGTTTGTACGGGCTAATTCCCGAAACTATATGATCAATTTAAATGAAATTTTGCATGGTGGTACGTTATAACACCGGTCAATATTTAAGGTACTTTTAATCACGGGAATTAATTAAAGAGTTCCCGAGGGATAATTACAAAACTACAGTAACTTATACAGCTTAGTATATAACCTACTTAAGTAAAGTTATTTTGATCTAAGGCAAAGAGTGAGAACAACACGTCATTTGTTAATTTTGATCCAGTATTCCTAAACATAATAAATAGGTAGGTACGTACATTGATACATACTAAACAGGAATTACAAATACCACGCGGATTATGTCACGGACATCAGCTAGTCTAAACTAATATTATACAGATAAAAGATTTTATTTTTTATAAATATCAGAGGGAGACTTTGTACAAAAATCGTTTGCTAGGGTACCTCTGTCCCATTCGTGTTTCAACCTTAAAGCAGTTGTGTTTGCATGGCTGTGTTTCGGTTTGAAGGGTGGAATATGGCGTGAATTTACAGGGTACAGAGGAATAACACCTGAGTCCTCAGAAATGGCAACGCATGGGGGGTATCATGGGCGAAACAGTATACTCTGTTATGTTCATGGTACTGCTCATGTCTATAAGCGACGGTTACTATTTTCCATCAAGTGAACCGTCAGCTTGTTTGCCATTCTAAATTATTTAAAAAAAAATTTAAAAATATTTATCGACTTTACAAATTATTTTACGTATAGAAAGTTACATTGTCAGTATGTAACATGCGCTGCATTTTATTCTCAAAAGAAATACACATCTTCGTATCAACGCGTGCGAGTCCGGGGCGTGTAGCTAGTCATATATATGTCGACCTCTTCATAATAAACGAGTCACCTCATTATCACTCAATATACACTTGTAACTTGAAGTTAATTAAATATAATTGGATTATGAGACTTCGTATATCGAACAGAGCATCTGTCGACCATTTTCAATAAAATACTAAGGAATTTTGTCCATATTAAGTCCTTTATTATTTTATATTCGAAGGGGCTTGCCCCTAAGTGAACGTTTGACATTCATTTGACATTGTGAAATTCCTACGCTCAACCCTTCTTAGGATTATATGCATAAATCTATTGACTATATTAATATTATAGAGAGGGAAGATTTTTCTATATAATTGTTTTTAAAAATTCTTTCGCCTATAAAAAGATACATTATCAGCGAGTAACATAGACTATATTATCTTTCTATTTACCCATGCGAAGCCAGAGGTGATTCACTAGTATTAAATATACTTGGTAAGTTATTATGGTACATAAAAGTTTTATGTGCCTACGAGTATGTATGTAAAGTTGCCCAATAAATTGTTGTCACAGCTTCGTTTTCAGCAAGCAAACATTGTAGATGATAGGTAATGCCGATCAATATATTTTTCTTTAGTTCACGATAGATAAAGGTGACACTAGATATACATGAGTAAAAGGAATGTAGTAGAAAAACGAGCTATGAAATAGGGAAATAGTCTATAAGTATGATCGAGCGAATTTTTTTATGTATATATATATATATATATATATATATATATATATATATATATATATATATATATAGTTTTAAATTTACTTATAAAGTACAGAAGATGATTTTATCACTAAAGCAATCTCTTTTTCTGGATAGAGGAGAAAATAAAAAGAGGACAGTAGCTATTTAACTAGAAAATCAGCTGACGGCCCATCTGATGGAAAGTGCTAAATGTTGTCTGTAGATATAAACAGTACTTAGGTACTATAATGTTATAGAATAAACTGTGACGCGTATGGTATACCTCGTGCATTGCCATTCCTGAGGGCTAAGATATTATGCCAACGTTAACTACACTGCCATATCCCATGCTTCAAACAAAATCACAGACATGCAAATAATTTTTGGCAGCAGAAACACAAGTGGGATAAAGGTACTTAAGCAAACGAATTTTGTACAAAGTGTTCCAGCATAGTCAAATGTACAATAATGTTCTTGCAAATGTCACAACAAAGTTCATTAAAGACAGTATTTTAAATAGGTTTATTTTAAAATTATTTTATTTTATAATTGCATATTGTATATGATATAGTCGTGTGGTCCGGCATAGAATAGGCCACCCTTTCCTTTCTCGTAAGTATGGTCAAAGGCGACTAAAAAAGGGCGAAGGATGGGCAGCAGCATCATTCTTAAAACATCTCCAAAGCCTAACTGCGGTTGTCACTTCGTCTGCCAAGGATAGCAACTCTTAGCAAAATCTTTTACAATTACGTACATTTTGCTCTCTTTTTTATTGTATCGTAGCAATAAAATTAAAACAGCATCTATTTATGCCTTATGTTAATACATATAAGACTCTTTTCGCTATTTCTTTTCCTAACCGTTATTTCCTTCTTCCTAGTGGAGAACTAACCTAATTCTCAATATCATAGAAAATGTGAAGGGAAGCACTTGAATGATTTCAATTCCATTGACGACGTCCCACATCTGTAACAAATCGATTCGCACCTCATTCAATCTGCTACGAAAATTCTTTATCATAGGAATATATTATACTGGCTAAAGTTATCAATTGATGCTATATGATTTTGCTCTTACAAAAATTCATGATATTTTTTTTTTCTGATGGAAAATGTTAACCGGAGAATAAAGACATAAGCAGTACCATGGACTTAACAGAGTATACTGTTCTATCCATGATACTCTTCATGCGTTGCTATTCCTGAGGTCTAAGGTGTTATGTATCTATACCCTATAAATGCACTGCCATATCCCCCCCTTCAAACTGAAACATATATGTAAAAAACTCATAGCACGATATTTATTCGCTAATCTCTCAAACTGTTCATTTTCATTCAATCGATAATATAAAAATTATATAAAACATTAAAAAAAAATTGTAAGTGTATATTCTTTAGAGAGAGAATAGTTATTATTTTAATATGAAAAATGGGTTCAGTAGGTAGCGGTAGGAATTAAAAAAACGTTTGATACGGTATCAAATTTTTAAGCATAACCAAAAAAAGTAATCGAGCTAAAATTTATATGTAAATGAGACCGCATAACATACAGGACAAATAATACATTCAACAACATACAAAAAATAGTCAAAACATTGACTAATACTCATCTATATACTAGTAGATACAGATATGACTCGTAGATACAGATGTCTGTACTGCAGCTACATAGATTTTATTTAATTTATATATTAATCAATCGACTTCATGGACACTCATTGTTATAGTTCTTTCATATACACCCACTCTAACTTGCCTAACTTGCTTTAGACTTATAATTTTCGTTCATGTAATTAAAATCCGTTATTGGCTGTATTTATAAGAGACTTAGTATGCAAGTTATTTTTTAAGAGCTGCAGATTTTTAGATTAAATAATAAAAAAATATTATAATACTATAGATACAAATTAATTACCGAATGTATGTAAATATATCACTTCAGAACAACTGTATCTATTTGACTAATTTTTTGTTTGTTTTATTTGTAATCATCAAGAGAGGGCATGGTTTGTATGGATTAAAATGTTAATGTAAAAATGGGTGTATAATTCTACTGTTACTACGCATTAAAAAACAAATACAAAAATATTTATATATAAAAAATATTATGAAACACAAAACAATTTTCTTATTAGATTTTGTGCGACTAAATTATAAGTTTTACAATTCAATTACAACATAAAACGAATGTGTAACAAACAAAACAAAAAGTCCTTCGTTAACCTAGTTTTCCAAATCCACAAGGTCCCCCTCGATCTGATAAGGGAGTCATTTTCTTCGGGCCCTTATATGGGCCGCCATCATTGCCATTCTACGCTGCCCTCGTTCGATTCTCATGCATTCATATTTTGTAATGATTCATTTTTGAGGCCTTCACATAGTTAAAAGTATTTTCAAAAAAATTTTAAATAATAATTTTTACTAATATTATAAGTCTTTCACCATTAGAAAGCTACATTCACCCTCAGTAACATAGGCTATATTTATTGCTAGAAAAGATTAAGGATTTTAACTTAAACTTTAATAACGTAACGAGTGCAAAAAAAAGTGCTGTAAAATATCTTTTGTCGCGTGCGCTGCGGAAACTATTGGTGATAGAACAAAAGTATATTGTACAATATTGAACAAAATATCATTAACTACAAAAAACTTCGCGATACTATATGTCCAACTATTATCGTTATGTCACAATAATCACTTTTTAAAATGTTGTAAAAATGTCCATCCGTGCGAAGCCGGGACGGGTCGCTAGTGTAATTAATATTTTAAATTGAAAATTAGTTTATTCGTTCGTTCTCTTAGCGTCTTAATGGCTTAATCAATCACTATGAAATTTGGTATATACGCACTATGTA